AGGACAGAGCCTGAAGCTCCAAGAATTTGGCACCTCATGAGAAGAGAAGACTACTCCCTGGAAAAGACCCTGATGTTGGGAAAGACAGTGGGCACAAGGAGAAGGGGACGACAGAGGACGAGATGGTTGGACAGTGTTCTCGAAGCTACCAGCACGAGTTTGACCAAACTGCGGGAGGCAGGGGAAGACAGGGGTGCCTGGCGTGCTCTGGTCCAGGGGGTCACGAAGAGTCGGACACGACTAAACGACTAAACAACAACAAGTAAAACAAAACAGCAAAACAATACCCCCCCTTCCCACAGAGGGAAAGGCTCCTCTTATCCGGCTAGACGACACAACCTGGCTCCCATACCCTTACTCCGGAGGAAGCTGACAGCAGCAAAACGCATGTGTTGGGGAGAGCAATGGTGAAAAGTCTTTTCCCCAGCTTCCTGGAAGCAGTAACAGCTGGTGCAGGTCTTACTGCGCTTCCTTGCATGTCAGAAAGTGCAGAGGGCCTCATGGGGCTCAAGAGAGTGGTGGCGACTGACACAAGGTTTTCCCAGAGCAACGGCGTTCCCTGATTTCCCCATGCGGTCTGTGAAACCCACAGGGACACATGGCGAAGTGGGGGGCAATTGCACCCACACCATACCCTCCAACGTTTCTCTGATGAAAATAGGGACATCCCATTGCACACTGATAATATTACTATTTATACCCTGCACATCTTACTGAGTTCCCCCAGCCCCTCTGGGCAGCTTCCAACATATATAAAAACATGATAAAACAATAAACTTTTTTTTAACCTTCTTTATACAGCATTAGGGATGCAGGTGGTACTGTGGGTTAAACCACAGAGCCTAGGACTTGCCGATCAGAAGATCGGCGGTTCGAATCCCCGCAACGAGGTGAGCTCCCATTGCTCGGTCCCTGCTCCTGTCAACCTAGCAGTTTGAAAGCACGTCAAAATGCAAGTAGATAAATAGGTACCGCTCTGACGGGAAGGTAAACGGTGTTTCCGTGCACTGCTCTGGTTCGGCAGAAGCAGCTTAGTCATGCTGGCTACATGACCTGGAAGCTGTACATCAGCTCCCTCGGCCAAGAAAGTGAGATGAGTGCCGCAACCCCAGAGTCAGCCACGACTGGATCCTTTACCTTTACCTTTATATAGGATTGCCTCCGTATGGCTCGGGGGTTGGATAGCTCCTCCAACATTTCTCCCATGAAAATAGGGACATCTGAAGGGAAAGCTGGTGGAAGACAGGAGTGCCTGGCGTGCTCTGATCCATGGGGTCACGAAGAGTCGGACACGACTAAACGACTAAACAACACAACAACAAAGGGAAAGAGGGACATTCTGGGATCAAACCAGAAACCAGGACGGCTTTTGTATATCAGGGATGCCCCTGGAAAATAGGGACCTTTGGAGGGTCTGCCGCACCTTTCCACACTTGTGCGGCCACCTGCAGTGACATTCTGCCCTGCTGCTTCCTGAGACTCTCCCCGACGCCACGGCCCTGTCAGGCCCACCACGCCAAAGCCACACGAAACACACGCCGAGAGAGAAACAGCTCTCCTTGGCCATATGAGCCACATCAAAGCCGCATGCCCATCGCCAGGAAAGAAACATCATTCCCACCAGCACCCCCCTCTCCCCTCTCTGTGTGCTTACCTTGTAGGGTTACATCCTGGGCGCCTGTTTGTGTTTTCCCCTGTCAGGGCAGACTCCGCTGGTGGCTTAAAGGATTTCCCCACAATAACCTGCAAATCCCTTTCCCAGAGTGACTAATAAGCTACAGAAACAATCGCTGCCTCCGACAGGAGCCTGGCATGCCAGTGGCTACACGCGCCTTGCTGGCTCTAACATCAGGCTACATCTATTGTTTTCCTTTGCCCTCTGGGTTTTCATTTTATTTTTATTTTAACCTGGGCCATCTTCTGTCCAGGTTCAACCTCATCAAGAACCTCTAATCTCTGCTACCGAAAAACCTCCTTCCTCTTTTGGTTATTTGCATAAAAGGACTTCCACCGCCTTCATAAAATCTGCTTTCTCGGTCCTGCTAGCCTTTTGAAAGAAACAATCATCATAATGGCCTTTCTCTGAAAGTGTTGAGAATCAGGAGGACATGTGATCTAATGGTGGTGGGGCAGGGAGAGTTAAGATCTTGATTTCTTTCACAGCTCCCACCACAGATTGAATAGATAGTTCTGGGCAAGTCAGTGAGGCACTTATACACATATATCTTAGCCCCATCTGAAGGAAACTCAAACACCATGTGATCTGGCAGATGAAATGATTGGGAGTGAGCTGTGGTTTCTCACTTCTTCAAATGTTTGTGTGGTAATGTCTGAAGCAGAGGTGGGGGCCGGGGTTTGGCTAGCAACTGTGATTTATTTGCTATCTATTTATTTTTAAATATATATATTCTACCCAGTGAAGTCAGTTCACACATTTGGCAAACAGGTGTGGGGACACTCAGAAGTGCACATGTATGTGTGAACCAGGTCTCAGGTGTGCAGCTTCTGATTGGAAGTACAGTCGTTAACAAAGCTGAATTCGACGGATGAAAGTACATGATGTTTGACATGATTGAGAATCGTGGACTCAGGGACGGAGAATTATAAAGCGTCAAAATCGAGATGTGGAAAATCAACGAGGAGAGGCAGGGCTGAGATGTGGAGATATGCTTCAGAGATCCAGACTGTGGGGAGCTCCGAAAAATTAATAATTATAATTTGGACTATAATTTGGTCTTTTTTCATTTTAGTTTTTTATTTTAATTGGAGTATTATGATTGGATATATTAATTGGATGCTTTTTATTGGAAAATCAATAAAAATGATTTTTTTTTAAAAAAAAGGATGTACAGTTGTACCTTGGTTCTCGAACGCTTTGGCACTTGTACATTTTGGCTCCTGAACACCGCAAACCCGGAAGTAAGTGTTCCGGTTTGCAAACTTTTTTTGGAAGCCAAACATCCAACGCATCTTCCGCTTGAGTGCAAGAAGCTCCTGCAGCCAATCGGAAGCCGCGCCTCGGTTTTTGAACGGTTCTGGGAGTCGAACGGACTCCCAGAACGGATTAAGTTCGAGAACCAAGGTACCGCTGTACCACAATCAGCACTGTGGATCCGGTGCCCTGAAAAATAATCACAATTCCATATTATGCAGAACTCAGATTCTACACCAAAAAAAGCCGAATTCTGCCACTGTGAGGCAAACCAAGCAAATTTGTATGGATTCGCTTGGCGTAGATTCAATTTGTCACAAAGCATGAGAGGAGAGGCTAAAGCATGACACTGACACCCTGACCTGCAAGACCCAAAGCCTCCTGAAGGTCGATTAAGCATGAAACCCATCTTGACTTCTAAGGAAAATTACCGTATATACTCGAGTATAAGCAGACCCGAATATAAGACAAGGCACCTACTTTTAGCTCCTTTCGGGCCGCTCGTCCCTCCACCGCCGCTGCCCACCTCACTCGAGTATAAGCCGAGGGGGGCTTTTTCAGCATAAAAAATGTGCTGAAAAAGTCGGCTTATACTCGAGTATATACGGTACTTTTTTAAAAAAAGGAACAGTGGGATTTTTCAGGATACACAAGATTCTTCACCAGGGTGAGATCCTGCATCTGTATCGAGTGACCACAGAGTATGCTCACAATAACGTTTCTGATTGCACCAGCATCTACCTGCACTCAAAATGAATGAATGGATGAATTTTTATTTGCGTCAGCCATCGGCCATAGGAGCAAAAGAACAATATGATATACCAAGAATAGAAATAAAAAGTCGATTATATAAAACCAGGGTTCTGAATTGACAGTCCAATAGTGGGCCTTATTCTGATTGCCCCAGCTAAAAACCTTGCAACCTTTACTGTCATCTCAAAGTAAGAGCCTGAGAATTCATTTCTGCCGGATGTTGAAGCGTTCAGTACAGTCATACCTCGGGTTAAATATGCTTCAGGTTGAGCGTTTTCAGGTTACACTCCGCGGTGACCCGGAAGTAACGGAACGCGTTACTTCCGGGTTTCGTCGCTCGCGCATGCACAGACGCTCAAAATGACGTCACGTGCATGCGCAGAAGCGGCGAATCATGAGCCATACACGTGCAGATGCGCAGGCACGGGTTGCGTTCTACTCAGGATGCGAACGGGGCTCCAGAACGGATCCCGTTCGCATCCAGAGGGTACCTCTCGTTAAGTACTTAATTCGTTCCGGAGGTCTGTTCTTAACCTGAAACTTCTTAACCTGAAGCACCACTTTAGCTAATGGGGCCTCCCACTGCCACCGCGCCGCCGGAGCACAATTTCTGTTCTCATCCTGAAGCAAAGTTCTTAACCCGAGGTACTATTTCTGGGTTAGCAGAGTCTGTAACCTGAAGCGTATGTAACCCGAGGTACCATTGTATTGCACAGAGGCTTGCCAATTCTTTCGCTGACCCTGCAAAAAAAAGATCACGTTTCTGTTCCGTGTTATCTCTTCGGAAAGTTGCACAGGTTAGGCCGGGTGCGATTCTCCACGTTGCAACAGGCTACGCTGGGTCTTCCTCAGAGCTTGCATCTGCCAGGGTGACATAAAAATGGCAGCATTACCCCCCCCCTTATTCCTTCTTTCTCTCTCCCCCGCCCTCTCCTCAACCCCCTCCCATCTCGCTTCCAAGATGCCAGTGTTCCCCCTTTCTGTTTCCCAAAGAGACTCCCGGGCTCCCCCTGCAGCCTGATTTCCTTGATCTTAAGACCCCTCCGAAGCACCGAGGTGATGTTTTGCTGCTGCTGTTGAATATGGAACATGTCAGCACCGCTCAGCATAAATAAATGCCATCTGCCTCCGTTGAGCTGTGCTCCGTAGGCGGCCGAGAAGGAAGATGACCTTCTCCACCCATTGCAGTGCCAAATCTTGGAAAACATCTCTCTCTCTCTCTCTCTCTCTCTCTCTCTCTCTCTCTCTCCTTTCTGCGGCTTCCCGGCTGCTCTCCCCCCGTTTTCTCCCTCTGTCCCCACCCTGCAATCCTTGGTCACGACTGTGCCTCCATTTCAGCGTTTAAGACAACAGAATTTGATGGGCCAAGCAGCGCCACCGGGTTCATGGCTTTATCGATCACGTGCTGCTTCGGATGACGCTTTTCATCTTGCAGGGAGGCCGGCGAAAGGTCAAGCTCCCTTCCCGCAACACATTTTTTAAACGCTGTTTGTTCACACATTGAGTTTCTTGAATCACAGCGCTGGAACAACTTGAGGCCTCGGAGCAGAGGAAGAGGGCGAATGGGCAGCTGGGGTTTCATGGGTGCTGAACCCTGTTGCACATTCGTGTCTGCGGGGAAGAGGCAGGAGGAGACCTGGAGCCCGGTGCAAAGACCGGGTGCCTCCTCGCCTTCACAATGCATCTGCGTGGAGACGAAAGCCGGTCATGCCTCTTTAAGGATCTCAAGAAAGATGATGGAGAAGCACAGTGATCAGGTCTCCTTCCTGGCACTTAAAAAAACCCCAAAACTTTAAAGCAGGGGTAGGCAACCTAAGGCCCAGGGGCCGGATCCGGCCCAATCGCCTTCTCAATCCGGCCCGTGGACGGTCCGGGAATCAGCGTGTTTTTACATGAGTAGAATGCGTCCTTTTATTTAAAATGCATCTCTGGGTTATTTGTGGGGCCTGCCTGGTGTTTTTACATGAGTAGAACGTGTGTTTTTATTTAGAAAGCATCTCTGGGTTATTTGTGGGGCATAGGAATTTGTTCATTTTTATTTTTTTCAAAATACAGTGGTACCTTGGGTTACATATGCTTCAGGTTACATACGCTTCAGGTTACAGACTCTGCTAACCCAAAAATAGTACCTCAGGTTAAGAACTTTGCTTCAGGATAAGAACAGAAATTGTGTTCCGGCAGTGCAGTGGCAGCAAGAGGCCCCATTAGCTAAAGTGGTGCTTCAGGTTAAGAACAGTTTCAGGTCAAGAACGGGCCTCCGGAACGAATTAAGTACTTAACCCGAGGTACCACTGTATAGTCCGCCCACCACATGGTCTGAGGGATGGTGGACTGGCCCACAGCTGGAAAAGGTTGCTGACCCCTGCTTTAAAGCATCTCCAAGGGGACTTTTATCAGAGCAGTGATAAATCTCTCCATTTTGGGGTTGTCTCAGTTACTCCAGTTTGGACATAAGAACATAAGAAGAGCTCTGATGCTGGATCAGGCCAATGGATCATCTAGACCAGGGGTCAGCAAACTTTTTCAGCAGGGGCCAGTCTACTGTCCCTCAGACCTTGTGGGGGACCGGACTATATTTTGAAGGGGGGGGGGGAATGAACAAATTCCTATGCCCCACAAATAACCCAGAAATGAATTTGAAATAAAAGGAGACATTCTACTCATGTAAAAACACGCTGATTCCTGGACCGTCCACAGGCCAGATTGAGAAGGCGATTGGGCCGGATCCGGCCCCCGGGCCTTAGTTTGCCTACCCATGATCTAGACCAGCATCTTGGGAAACGCACAAGCAGGATTCCAGCACAAGATCACCCTCGCCTCTTGTAGAGTTTCCAGCAAATGGCATTCAGAAGGATTTCTGCCGCCTGCCGTGGAGGCAGGGCACAGCCACCCGGGCTCCTAACCATTGGCAGTCCTCTCCTCCGTCGTGAATCTGTCTCATGCTCTTCTGAAGCCACCCCGCTTTGAAGGCCATCACTGCCTCTGGTGGGAGCGAATCCCATAATATGCACATTGCACAAAGAAGCACTTCCTGCTGCTTTTATTTCACAGGGTCTGAGTCAGATGGGGATTCTGACCTTGATGCAATTTGCCTGTGGTTCCTGGCATACCATTCATTCCCCATTCCTTTCGTTTTCTGGAAAGCCCCCTTTTCAGCTAAAAATGTGGCCACCTGGTGTTTTCACCTCATGCAGATTCAGAGCTGCCTCTCTGGGGTCTTCCACACACAGCAAGCACCATCTCCCTTATGCAGATAACTGCAAGCGAGGTGGACATTCCTCCCCCCCCCCAAATAATTTTTTATTATTTTCCTTATACATACTTCTATAATGCATTGCAATAAATCACATAAATACTTTAGCTCTGCCAAGCTTGCAACTCCCCTCCATCCCTTCAGCAAGTATCCCTTATTTTCATATATTCTGTTTATTTAACCTTATATCTGCCATACATTGTAAGAGCTATTTCAATCCTGTCAGTGTTTTTAAAGTTTTACAATTGTCTTTTATATACACCATAAATTTACTCCAACCTCTGATCGTCCTGAATTCTTCCTGTCAGTTTGGCTAACTCTGCATAACTCATCATTTTCATCTGTCACTCCACAACAGGGGGAACGTCTTGCAATTTCCAATTTTGGGCAAGCATATTTCTTGCTGCGGCTGTGGCATACATAAAAAATCTTTGGTCCGCTTTCTTAATTTCCTTCCCCATCAACCCCAACAAAAAGGCTTCTGGTTTTTTGGGGAAAGTGTATTTAAATATTTTATTAAGTTCATTGTAAATTAATTCCCACAACAACCCTGTGAGGTAGGTTAGGCTGAGAGGCAGTGACTGGCCCAGCGCCACCCAGTGAGCTGTTAGAATTCCTGCTCCGTGATTGCAGTCATGGGATTGTTGTCTTTCACATGACGGTGTATATTTTGACTCCACAAAGTGGGAAGTGACAGAGACAGGATGTTTGTGTTACTGTGTTCCGTGAAGTGGGACTATTGTCCTTTGTTCTTTCTCTTTGCTGTCTGATGCTAGAGAGAGAGGGAGCCATGTTGCAGTGCTCCGTGTGTGTTTATATGTAAATAAAGTAGATTAGCCAAAATGCTGAGTTGCTGAGGTCTGTTACGCAAACTGCGAACACTCTGCGGATCCCTAAATGTGCCGATGTCTGTTGGCATCGGTCGCTGTGATGTTCGGGCAGAAGAAAGCTCGGTTCAGTATACCTGAAGGAGCGTCTCCACCTCCATCGTTCTCCCCGGACACTGAGGTCCAGCGCTGAGGGCCTTCTGGCGGTTCGCTCGCTGCAAGAAGCCAAGTTACAGGGAACCAGGCAGAGGGTCTTCTCGGTGGTGGCACCTGCCCTGTGGAACGCCCTCCCACCAGATGTCAAAGAGAACAACAACTACCAGACTTTTAGAAGACATCTGAAGGCAGCCCTGTTTAGGGAAGCTTTTAATGTTTAAGAGACTACTGTATTTTAATACTTTGTTGGAAGCCGCCCAGAGTGGCTGGGGAAAGCCAGCCTGATGGGCAGGGTATAAATAAATTATTATTATTATTATTATTATTATTATTATTTGAAGCTCCCAAATGAAAGACCAGGAGGGAGAGAACATGCCAGTCGGGCATGTGTCTCTGCCAGGGTCCTACTCGAGTGTAGGACAAGCTCCTGACATGAGCTTCATACCCAAGCGGGGATTCAAACCCTGGTCTCCCAAGCCCTAGTCTGACACTGTAACCACTATACCACACTGTCTCTCACCACGCAACTCAGCTTTGAAGCCTAGTTCTCTGTTGCCTGTGCAACGATGCTTCTGCTAGAGGCTGCCCTTTATGTACTTGCTGGGGGGGGGAGTGGACAGAAAGCAGTTTTTCCCCATAACACTAAAACCTGGGGTCCTTCAATGAAAGTGATTCATGGTAGAGTTGAGACCGAGAGCACTTTATTCATACAGCGCTCAGTTCATTTGTGAGATTTGCTGCTCCACAATGTGCTAAATACTGACTGCTTAAGGTGGGTTAAACAAATTAACAGAGGAGAGGTCCAGCAATGGTTTTTAGCCATGATAGCTAAATGGAACCTCCAGCTGCAGGAGCACTCTATCTCTGAATCCCGAGTGCTAGGGAGCAGGTATACAGTAGTGGGCCACTGTGGAAAGCAGGTTGCCGTTGGACTAGGTAGATCCTTCTTCTGGCCCAGAAGAGTTCATTTTAACAACAACAACAACAACAACAACAACAAAAACAGCAATAATAGCAATAATAGTAATAATAGTAGTAATAATAATAATAATATATTATTTATACCCCACCCATCTGGCTGGCTTTCCCCAGCCACTCTGGGTGGCTTCCAGCAAAATATTAAAATTCAATAATTCATCAAATATTAAAAGCTTCCCTAAACAGGGCTCCCTTCAGATGTCTTCTAAAAGTCAGATAGTTGTTTATTTCTTTGACATCCGATGGGAGGGCATTCCACAGGGTGGGCGCCACTACCAAGAAGGCCCTCTGCCATGGTACATTGCTGCGGCAACCAGAGGTATGAATATTGTCAGGTAGGAATTTGTCCTTGAATCCATGGCCTACGTTAGTAGCTGCTCTATGATCTCAACTCCACTTTGAACACTGTCGTTTGATCATGGGTAGTTAGGCCTTGAGGCAACATAGTCCCTCAGGCCCAGAAAACTGGGGCCGTTGCCAGACATCAAGACATGTGGTATTCCATGTCTGGAAAAGAATCCCTGGATTTCAAAGGCATCACATTATTTTCTGATGTTTTCTCTACACAGCTGGCTCAGGGTAACGTTAATTACAGGTTTGTGAGGAATGAATAGACTTTGCCAAAATATGTGTGCGTGCCAACACCAACTTTGCACGATGCCTGCAACTCACAACTGTTTAGCCACAAAGGACCTTTCCCCTTGTTTAGGCTGGTGTTTTTCTCAGGTTTTACGTTCTTAACCTGTAGGTTGATTAATCTGCATCTTAAATTATTACAAGGAGAGAAAAAAAGTTGAGTGCAAGAGGGTGATTTGGATATTGCGGCGAGCGAACGTATTAGGAGAGCCGTTACTTTATGTTTACTATCCAAATGTCCTTCATGTATTCAATGTCTTTTTGTAATAATTTAGGCACAGTCCACGATCTTGGAACAGAACCCATCAGGTATAGAGAGTTACGCTTTGAAATGAGATATGGAGCTGGTAGGACAATGGTGATTGGTGCTGAGTAACCTGTGGCCCTCCAAATATCGTTGGACTCCAACTCCCATCAGAGCGAGTCTGCAAGACTCATGGTTAGCTGTGATGGGAGTCGTAGACAGGCGAACTAATGCCAGTGTACTGGAAGAAGCAAAGATCACCAGTGTGGAAGCAATGATTCTTCAACATCAACTTCGTTGGACTGGTCATGTTGTTCATATGCCTGATTGGTGTCTTCCAAATCAACTACTCTATTCCGAACTTAAAAATGGAAAGCATAATGCTGGTGGTAAACAAAAGAGGTTTAAAGACTGTCTCAAGGCAAATCTAAAAAAATGTAGTGTAAACACCGACAACTGGGAAACACTGGCCTGCAAGCGCTCCAGTTGGAGAACAGCCTTTACCGAAGGTGTCATGGGCTTTGAAGACACTCGAACTCAGGACAAAAGGGAGAAACGTGCTAAGAGGAAGGCATGCTTGGCAAATCCACAACATGATCAACTCCCACCCAGAAACCAATGTCCCCACTGTGGAAGGACGTGTGGATCCAGAATTGGCCCCCATAGTAAAGGTAAAGGGTAAAGGGACTCCTGACCATCAGGTCCAGTCGTGGCCGACTCTGGGGTTGCAGTGCTCATCTTGCTTTATTGGCCGAGGGAGCCGGCGTACAGCTTCCGGGTCATGTGGCCAGCATGACTAAGCCGCTTCTGGTGAACCAGAGCAGCGCACGGAAACGCCGTTTACCTTCCTGCCAGAGCTGTACCTATTTATCTACTTGCACTTTGACGTGCTTTCTAACTGCTAGGTTGGCAGGAGCAGGGACCGAGCAACGGGAGTTCACCCCATCACAGGGATTTGAACCGCCGACCTTCTGATCGGCAAGTCCTAGGCTCTGTGGTTTAACCCACAGCACCACCCTTGTCCCAGCCTCCATAGTAGGGCGGTTCATAAAAAAACACTTTTTTTAAAAAAAATGCCTGCTCCAAACGTCTTATTTTACTACACTAGGGATTATATAGGTATATCTGAGATTTCATCCATATCAGTTAATATCTTGACCCTCCGCCACGAAAATAGCTGTTTACTTGGCCATTTTCCTATGTCGTGAAGGCTGAAATTTCAATTCAGTGGAGCAGGGTCAAGATATTAACTGATATGCATGAAATTTCATATATATCTATATAATCCCTAGTGTAGCAAGATAAGAGCTTTGGAGCAGGTATTTAAAAAATAAATAAATTATGAACCGCCCTACTCCACAGTCACTTAAGGACTCACTTTTAAGATTGTGTTCATGGAAGACAATCTTACACACCTACGAGTGATCACCAAAAAAGAGTCTAGAAGTATCTGAAGGGCTTCAGATTCCTTACTCCTGTGTTATGGTGCGAACAGCATTTTGGAAGTCCCTGCCTATTGCAAACAAGCAACCACCTTCACTGTACTCTTTTTGGTCCCTACCTAAAACATTCTCCCTTAGACTAGCCTACCCAGATGCTTAGAATGTTGGTATAATTCTAATCTGGTTTACCATTTTAACTTTTGTATGTTTTAAGGTACGGTTGTGAATTTTTTCTCGATTTTATTGTTTCATCTCTTTGCAAAGTTCTCTGAGGTTCACAACAATCAAGGGCGGGTAAATTTTATAAAATAAATCAATAAATGTGCAAAGGTTGGACTAGATGATCCTTGGGTCCATTCCAACTCAATCAGATGGGTGGTATATAAATAATTATTATTATTATTATTATTATTATTATTATTCCACGATTCTATGACCAGGCCACCCTGTTGAGATACTTTCGATTAAATGGCTTAAACCTCATTGGTTTACAAATAAATCAAGTTGATGATGATACCTTTGATTACTCCCCGCATCTATCATGCCTATTGCAAATTCTTTCCATTCATTGTATGATTGTGGCCCATTTCATCCTTTTTTAAAATCAATAACGTGTTATTGATATCATCAAAGCCTTTTCCCTCATTTCCTGTAATGGTGTCATTAAATGCTTGCTGCCAAGTTTATTTCCTTGCTTATAATCAATTGTGTCTGGATTATGTAACTGAAGCAGAAACAAACATTTTCTGACATTTCAGAGTTGGAAACAGAGATGAACTTGCAACACCTCAATTTATATACCCAGGACCAGTCCCCAAATGCAGAGGCCCATTGCTACACATGCCTGAAGGCCAAAGGACCTTCTACTTCAGCATCCTACTAAGTTCAATATATCTACTCTGAGCAGGACTAGTCCTGGATACAGTGGTACCTTGGTTCTCAAACACCTTGGTTCCCAAATGCCAAAAACCCTGGAAGTGCTCTGGTTTTCAAACGATTTTCGGAAGCCGAACGTCCGAAACGGTTGTCAGCTATTGTTTCCGGGACACCTGCACCAATCAGAAGCTGCGCCTTGGTTTTCAAACATTTCAGAAGTCAAAAGGACTTCCGGAATGGCTTAAGTTTGGCGCTTTTGCTTTTGCTATTTATTTTGCATTTTTGTTTTTGAGGCTTTTTCGGTTAATTTTTTTTGGTGACTGTGTGGAACCCAGTTCAGCTACTGATTGATTGATTGATTGATTGATTGCGTGACTGAGGAAATGGATAAAAGCCCCCCCCCATCTAAACAATGACTATCATCAGTGCAGGTAAGAAAAAACAATAATTTTAATTGTTATCATTTACAATACTGTCTTATTTATTTTATAGTACAGTACATTGATTATTGCTTTCATTTTATGGATCAATGATCTCGTCCAATAGTAAAATTCATGTCAAATTGCTGTTTCAGGGGTTGTTTTTAAAAGCCTGGAACGGATTAATCCGTTTTGCATTACTTTCTATGGGAAAGCATGCCTTGGTTTTGGAACGCTTTGGTTTTGGAATGGACTTCTGGAACGGATTAAGCTTGAGAACTAAGGTCCCACTGTATTATTATTATTATTATTTGCATGTGTCGGATTGGTTTCATTGTTTTTCAAGGTTGGGTAAGGGAGATTATTAAGAACACAAGAAGAGCCTACTGGATCAGGCCAATGGCCGGCCTAGTCCAGCATCCTGTTCTCACAGTGGTCAAACAGATACCTTTGGGAAATTCAGAAGCAGGATTTGAAAACAAGAGCCCTCTACCTCTCTTTCAAATCAGAATCAGTGAAGGCGGTGAAGGTCCTGTGCGAGTGTCTGGAGGCAGTTGGAGGATGGATGGCGGCTAACAGATGGAGGTTGAATCCTGACAAGACAGAAGTACTGTTCTTGGGGGACAGGGGGCAGGCGGGTGGGTATGGGAGACTCCCTGGTCCTGAATGGGGTAACTGTGCCCCTGAAGGACCAGGTGTGCAGCCTGGGAGTCATTCTGGACTTGCAGCTGTCCATTGAGTCACAGTTTAATTCTGTGTCCAGGGCAGCTGTCTACCAGCTCCATCTGGTACGCAGGGTGAGACCCTCCCTGCCCACAGACTGTCTCACCAGAGTGGTGCATGCTCTAGTTATATACCCTAGAATCATAGAATCATAGAGTTGGAAGAGACCACAAGGGCCATCGAGTCCAACCCCCTGCCAAGCAGGACTACTGCAATGTGCTCTATGTGGACTACTGCAATGCGCTCTATGTGGGGCTACCTTTGAAGGTGACCTGGAAACTACAACTAATCCAGAATGCGCAGCTAGACTGGTGACTGGGAGTGGCCGCCGAGACCACATAACACCGGTCTTGAAAGACCTACACTGGCTCCCAGTACGTTTCTGGGCACAATTCAAAGTGTTGGTGCTGACCTTGAAAGCCCTAAACGGCCTTGGCCCTGTATACCTGAAGAAGCATCTTCACCCCCATTGTTCTGGCCGGACACTGAGATCCAGCGCTGAGGGCCTTCTGGAGGTTCCCTCATTGCAAGAAGCGAGGTTACAGGGAACCAGGCAGAGGGCCTTCTCGGTAGTGGCGCCCGCCCTGTGGAACGCCCTTCCATCAGATGTCAAAGAGATAAACAACTACCTGACTTTTAGAAGACACCTGAAGGCAGCCCTGTTCAGGGAAGTTTTTTATGTGTGACATTTTAATGTATTTTTAATCTTTGTTGGAAGCTGCCTAGAGTGGGTTGGGAAACCCAGCCAGATGGGCGGGGTACAAATAATAAATTATTATTATTAATTATTATTATATCTCCCCTCCTGTGGTTTCCAGCAGTGGGAGTTCAGAAACATTGCTGTCTCCACCCATGGGGGCAGGGCATGGTCATCGCGGCTAGCAGGAATCGGCAAATCTGCCAATTCTGGATTCTTTTTCTTACTTTTCCAATACTAACATCAGCTCTTCCACATTTCCACATCAGTTTACACTCTCTCCTTTTTGAAAAGACCTCATGAAAATTCTTCAGCACTTTGCTGCAAATTTCTCTTATCAGACACGTGTTTATATGCAATTTTGCTTGATATACACGTTTTTCCAAAAACATGTTTTGCCTGAAAATGGGAAAGTATTGCTTAGCAGAAAGTAGAACAGCTGGATGTCACCGTAGAGTGAATATTTAGAATAATGTTTCTGTATGTAACTGACAGATGGAAAATTGGAAGTCATTTTATCTCTTTTTTTCCTTTCTTATATTCCTCTCTTTCTTTTATCTTCCTTATTCTTTGTTTGGTTTTTTTGATTTCCTTGGAGTCCTCTGTTCCTGGTCTTTATTGGGATTATTTACACATGAAGGTGATGGCTGTTTGATGAAGGACCCTGCGTGAGAGACAGGGAAATGAAGATCTCCCGTTGGGAGGTCCACCTTTTTCTGTGTGAGACAAGGGTTAAGAGCTACCTTTGAGAGAAGACTGCATTTTCCTTTCTTTTTTCTGATTGCATTTAGATTAGCTTATTTTCAAGTGCATTACGAAGCAACCTTAACAAAATATTATGGACAAAACACATCTTTTGCCTAATATATAATGGATGTCTGTACGTTCTTTTCACTAGCACATGCATTCTTATTCACACCTCCCCATAGTGTGTGCATTTTTGTACACCTTGGGTGGGGAACTGCGTTGCAAAATGCACACTGCGGATTTCAAAGGAGGACTATGTTTCAGATATCTGATATCTGATATCGTTTTGGAAGGAGCAGATTGGCTTGGTTTGCCTCTAACTGTGAGCTGAATTCAATTCCCCCCATACCTAGGCGGAAGAAAATATCTCTGTGTGTTTTAAGAGTATATATTTGTGCAATAGATCTAAAAACAAACATACAGCCCCATTCTTTTTTATTAATTCAGATAGCTGATCCTTTTTGTAAATTCTGCCCCTTATTCCTGAAGAGGCCAGCCAGACCAGTTCTTAGTTTTAAGTGGAATCCCAAGAGCAGTGGAGCCTTTAGGGGGCATGGACAGAAATTGGATTAAAATCTGCAAATCGTTATCTTGCACTTAGGAGCTGGTTTACCTGCAGAAGAAGGAGATGACTCTCTTCTGGAAAATAGGACATGTGTCCACTCTATGTCTCTGCATAGTACTAATCACAATCTGAGCTCTCACAATGGCACCCATTACCTGCTGGGAGCTGCAAAAGTGGCTCATTACACCAGTTCCAGGCCTCATAAAAGTTCTCCAGACGTCTTGCTTTCTCTCTAAGTCCTCCTCTGAAGTGCATACATTTCCAGTGTTTTCTTGCCTCTATAAAACTCATCAAACTTCTGCAACATGTCAAAGTTGGCCTTCTCAGTCTGGCAGTTGCATGCTATTAAAAAAAATAAATGTCAGCTGCTTTAGGTCTTGCAAAATTCAGGAGTAAACTCTTTTCTGCTTTTTTTCCCCAGCGCTGAATCTTTTCCAAGGTTCTTCAGTGTGACTTGAGAACTACGGTTCCTGTGGGATCTTCAGATGCTTCATCCATGCAGCACTCTCGCTTCATCACATCAGTTTTCTTTCTGATCAAAGTTGGCTTAGAGATCCCACTTCTGGCGGCATCCTAAGTTCTCCTTCATTAAAACCGATGGAACTGAAGGCTGTCTTAATGTAATTTGTGTTAGTGTAGCAAATAGATTCTCGCCCGAACTCTCTTTGGCATATTTTTCTCCCTGTTGCTCTAATGTGCCTTCAGCTTGACTGAAGATGGTGTGTACACCCATTCAAGGAGCGACGGGGGTCTGTTCAACTGGGAAAGTCTTCATGCGCAGACAAAAGTATGGCAGACACATGCACCTCTCTTTTTTTCCCCCTCTCTTTTTCTTTGAAATAGTTTTTATTTGATTTTACAAATCCAAAATTATAACAATCCAAATGCATATCCATATATAGTAAAAGGTAAAGGTAAAGGTAAAGGGACCCCTGACCATTAGGTCCAGTCATGGCGGGGATTCGAACCGCCGACCTTCTGATCAACGAGCCCTAGGCTCTGTGGTTTAACCCACAGTGCCACCCGCATCCATATATATATATATATATATATATATATATATATATATATATATTCCATATATAGAGATTACTCTAAATCTTGCGACATTTACAACTGCATATTATTCCATAATCTATATTTTATGTCAATCCATATTATCCATTACAAGTGAGATTAAAATCCTTCTAATGTTCCCATCTGCTTGCAGTGGTCTCCTAAATAACTGATAAATTATCCCCATTCTTTTTTAAAGTTTTTGTCGTCTTGGTTCCTGAGTTTTCTAGTCAGCTTTGCCATTTCGGCGTAGTCCATCAATTTAGCTTGCCATTCCTCTCTGGTAGTGACGTCTTTTCCATCCCTAGGCTAGTAGCATTCAAGCAGCTGCTGTCTTTTCATAAAAAGTCTTTTCTGATCTTTTGGGATGTCGGAACACAAGGAGAGCCTGATGAATCAGGCCAATGGCCCATCTAGTCCAGCAATCTGTTCTCGTAGTCAGTGCCAGATTTATGTATAAGCTAAACAAGCTATAGCTTATGGCCACACTCTCTTGGGCCCCCCAAAAAATTAAAGGGAAAGAAACTGGATGTACCTTTCCAAAATATAAGATAAAAAACAAATAAAATAAAACCTACATACAGCAACAGTGTTTTGTGTTGTGTAGGTTGCTATGATGTAAATCATGGGACCCGCCTGCTAGCCTGCTCCCTAAAAGATCACTGGTTTGCTCATTTCTATATCAGTTACTTTGTTAAAATACAGTGGTACCTCTGGATGCGAACGGGATCTGTTCCGGAGCCCCGTTCGCATCCTGAAGCGCATGCAACCCACATCTGCATGTGTGCGGGTCGTGATCACCCACTTCCGCGCATGCGCGTGATGTCATTTTAGCGTCTGGGCATGCGCGAGCGGTGAAACCCGGAAGTAACGCGTTCCGTTACTTCCGGGTCACAGTGGAGCGCAACCCGAAAATGCTTAACTCAAAGTTACTTCAACCCGAGGTATGACTGTACATATTTTGTTATGTGCAAATGGCTTGAGATA